AATCTGAAGGTCGTGAGTTCGATCCTCACTCGGGGCACTTATTTTTTTAGTTCAAATCGTTAATAAATCAATTTTAGATAACTTAAGATGCAAAAACATAATTGATTTTATCGGTGTTTCCATGGGGTTTCTACCATGCTATATGAAAGTATCTCCCATCAACGTGAAAACCATCTTGAGGGTGTGGGTGAATGCAGGCGTGCATCTTTTTTAGAGTCTGGATCAGTATCCAGCTACTCCCACACCGACCTTCAAGATGGTTGACACTACTCAATCGATATTCATAATGATCTGGACTCATATATTGAACACTGTACTATGTTGTGTTATCTTCTTCATTTTGATTTCTTTTAGCATTGAAAGTTAAGTGCTGGCTAGATCGGCTGGATCTTTATCTTTGAAAGTAATTGATTGTTCTAGTGCTGGTTTAATATTTTCTTAAATTTAAATATCTTTTTTTTGGATCATCACGTGGACCAGGAGCACGAAAACATTCGTAAGGTTGAAATCGTTCGATTATCGGTGAATTAAGTTTTAAAGTGGGTTTAGTCTGAGGCATTGGTGTTGCAGGGTTGCTATTAACCATAGTATCATACTTAGTCAAAATAACAGGAAATTTTATTTTATTTCTTGGACGAGCAACATTTTCTTCAATATTATCGAAAAAATTTACTTTTTTTGAGTTATAGGTAGATGATGCAGAACACTTACAAACACTTTCTGCATTCATTGCTTAACAAAGATTGAAAGTGTGAATGTACTATACTCATTTCCTATATAATGAAGCATAATCTCAGTCATACTCAAAACAATTAAGCTGCTGAAAATCTGGTTTTATTGAGAGAGAAAAAACAGTTTTTTTTATAGTAAATTTTGCAATATCATTTAGAAGAAAACTTATTACACCTATTTTTCTATGATAAAGCAGCAATAGGATGAATGATGAATTGAGTAACACATTATAATTTCGATGAATATTAATGCATTTTAATTTTATATGAATATCTTGATAGACATTGTCGACATACTTCTCTTTTAGTTTGTCTTAATAAACTAAAGAAAAATTCGAACATTAACTTCTTTTTTCTTGATAAAGTATAACATAAGATTTGATCATAATTAGGTTAAAGTAATGTCGATTATACTTAATATATTTTTTTAAATTCATTAATTTAATGAAAATACAGTAGGAGAGAATAACAAAAACTTTTGGAAAGATTTAGTCAAATACCAAGAAAAAATATTCAGTTTTGCTTCTTTTCATAATCACCTATTTACACATACGTCACTATCGCTACCTCTGTATATATACAAGAATAAAAAAGACAGATAGTAACAGTAATATTAATAAATTGACGTTTGCTTTCTATGTTATCAATGTACTTTTTTTTGTTAATGTCTCTTATTCTTGGTATCTACATTCGTATAAGAACTGATAAAATAGTATCCTTTGTCGAAGAATAAGTGACGACGTCATCATCAAATTTTCTTTTGATAAAATGATCTTGAATTTCTAATAGTCACTTGTATACTTGCTTTCAATGATAGCTTTGAATTTGAAAATTTGAATGAAAACATATACATATATGCTGTTATTTCTATAACATGAGAGAACAAGTATGTATGTCTATAAGCTATGACATGTACATTATATAGATAATCATCTCAGTACATTTCAGTATAACCATTCGTATAGTACATAAAAACCGATTGAGTTTTCTTTTTTATCAATTGAAATATAAGTTAATTAATAACATATTGGATTTGATAAAATAGAAAAGATTTCATGATCTTATTTCAACCAGTTAATTGTAAATCTAATTTTCTTTTGTTTATTCATTGATCTATATGTCTTTAGAGCAACTAATAGGCAGGAATCAAAATGACGCTTTCGTTTCGGTTATTCTATCATAAATAAATTTCGCTGACAGAAGAGATAAAACGATATACAAAAAAGCGCTCTTCTGATACTTGTTTGATAATGAAGAACAACCTGCATATTGACACAGTGCAATTATTATATAGATAAAAGCAGATGAAAGTTGGAAAGAAAAACCATACGACACAATAGGTTGTTGACTTTTGCTTTGTTTCATGTTCGTCTATTGACGCTGCTGATTTCTCTCTTTATGGCTCTTTGCAAGAGTATTTCCGAGTGAAGCGAAGTAGACTTCATCCCCTAGTGTCAACAAAAGATAAAAACATTTGGCATTATAAAAAAATCCAAGAAAAACAAATCATTGCCTATATAAACTGTTGTTTTGTTCTCTATACTCATTCAAAATACTTACTTATAAGTTCACATTCAGCAATAAGTTTCGATTCACATCAACATGAGTCCACAGCAATCAAAAACAAAAGATTTTTTCATCCTACAGCTCAGACGCATCTAACACCACTGTTACAACAATAGCGCCATCAACACATCAGTGCATGGCCCAGAATTATCTGTTGGTTTGGCTCGATGCAAGTATCGATCAAACCAACATGGATTGTCAAAATACACTGATACAGCTTCGAGCTGTTCTCAATGATGGGTGTGAGTGTGAGTGTTATAAATAAGATACACTCAAACCTACACCCACACCCTAGTTTACATACCGATCAGCGTACTCGACTAGATGCCCCATATTAATAGATATAAATTCAACTTTCAGTGTTTTTATTTCTTTCTAAAATCTTAATTTAAATTTGATTTTTTTCTCAACATAATTATTTTCAGAAAAATGTCGAAAGAAAATATTCTATTTAAATTATTTTTCGTATGGCAATTGTCACTAACTGCCCTATGGTGGCCCGGTAATGATGTCAAGGGCATTTGCAATGCATTAGATGTAGATGTCAAACAACTCAACCAGGATTCAAATCCTATAAGCTTCGTCACGACGAATGAAGCGGTATCCAGTGAAAGTCTGAACCAACTGGAACCTAATTACATGTACACACAAATATTCAAGGAGATTCTCCTTGAAATGAAGTATGTTCAAGAACAAGCCATCAAGATCTTAGCAATGTATTCCGACCAATTTTATTTTGACAATATGGCAGAATTAAATGTTATTAATGAATTTCAACATGATTATCGTCGAGAACAAGCAATTTGGTGGTATACACGTGAGTGTTTTATCTATCAAATGCTCAATCGAGCACTTCGAACATTGGATGCCGGTACAATTATTAATATGGGATTTCTTATTCGTGATCTTCATCAGCAACTGCATCAACTACATGAACAACAACTCCCAAATTATCATGGTAAGCCTTTTATAGTTTACCGAGGACAAGGTTTGTTGAAAACTGATTTCGACAAACTCAGAAAAACAAAAGGTGGTCTACTGTCTTTTAACAACTTTTTATCCACAAGTATGAGAAAAGATGTTTCTCTCCAGTTCGCCGAGAGTGTCTTAGAAAATATAGATATGGTTGGAATACTTTTTATAATGACTATTGATCCTCGTGTCTCATCAAGACCATTCGCCTCTATTAAGGAGGTTAGTTATCACAAGATAGAAGAAGAAATTCTCTTCTCCATGCACACGGTGTTTGAAATAGGTACAATTACACAAATGGGCAAAAATAATCAACTTTATCAAGTAGAACTTCAACTAACTGCTGATGATGATGAACAACTTCGACAACTGACTGAATATATGAGCAAAGAAGTTGTAGGTGGTACAGGATGGAATCGACTAAGTATGTTATTAGTCAAAACCGGTCATTTCGATAAGGCTGAAGAACTATATAAAGTACTACTTGAACAACCATCGAGCGAGAGCGACAAAGCAACTTATTACAACGATCTTGGATCTGTCAGAAATGATCAAGGCAATTACAAACAGGCTATTAAATATTACGAAAAAGCACTTGAAATTCAAGGAAAAACTCTTTCTGCAAATCATCCTGATTTGGCTACTTCTTACAACAACATTGGTACTGTGTATTATAACATGGGAGAATACTCAAAAGCACTCCCATTTCACGAAAATGCACTTGGAATCTGGAAAAAAGCTCTTCCTGAATATCATCCTTTGCTAGCTATTTCCTACAATAATATTGGTATGGTGTATAAATATATGGGGAAGTTCTCGAAAGCACTTTCAGTTTACGAAAAAGCACTTGAAATCTATGAATATCATTCTACAAATCATCCTTCATTAGCTACCTCCTACCATAATATTGGTTCGGTGCGTAAGAAGATGGAAGAGTACTCAGGAGCACTTTCATTTTACGAAAAAGCACTTCGAATCTGGGAAAAAACTCTTCCTGCAAATCATCCTTCATTAGCTACTTCCTACCACAACATCGGTACTATGTATTATAACACGGAAGAGTACTCAGAAGCACTTCCATTTTACGACAAAACACGTAAAATCTTTGAAAAAACTCTTCCCGCAAATCATCCTGACTTGGAAACTCCATACAAAAACATGGGTATGGTGTATACTGTGAAGAAAGATTACTCTACAGCACTTTTATATTACGCAAAAGCACTTGAAATTGAAGAAAAAATTCTTCCTGAAATTCATCCTGGCTTGGCTACTTCATACAAAAACATGGGTATGGTGTGTAATGAGATGAAAGACTACTCTACAGCACTTTCATTTTACGCAAAAGCACTTGAAATTGAAAAAATAACTCTTCCTGTAAATCATCCTTCGTTAGCTACTTCCTATAACAACATCGCTTATGTCTATAAAAACATGAAAGAATATTCCAAAGCACGCTCATATTTTGAACGCGCTCTTGACATTCTCAAAGTTTCATTACCACTAAATCATCCTCATCTTGAAAGTGAGAAACAAAACATTGAAATTGTAAAAGAAGAATTATAATTGTTATCCTGAATAAATAAATAAATGTTTTCTTTATGCAAGAGATAAATAACTGTACTTTTTACTGACGCGCACGTACAGAGAACATCGCTGTAAGTAATGAAAACGGAATGGACATCCCCGACCGTCAAGACAATACACATACATATCATGTACATGAATAAAAGATCATCACGGGCATGTTTACGTTTTCAACAATAAATACGAGAATATTCTCTATAAGTTAAAAAATAAATATAATACTAGAAATCGTCGGTTATCATTGTAATAAACATGTTGAAAATGAATCTAAAAAAGAAAATAAATCGGAGAAAAAGAAAAAAAGAATAACTTCCTTTGTTTAACTTGTTTTTATTATTGTATTGTATTGAACAAAGTCTTGAATGATGAAGAATAGTATATGAGCCACGCCATGTAAGCCACAACCAAAATACACATAACCTGCTCAATCAAAGTCGTCTGATTTTATTGATTTTGAGATATATTGTAGAGGGAAGAATCCTGAGTTTTTTTGGCGCAAGCCGTTTCGAAAAATATTGAATCCTCCCTATTATTTTAGAAGCATTTTAGGAAATACCCTATATATGACAAAATTGACAAACGAAGGTCTAAATCGGGCAGTCTTTCAGAAACGACTGAATAGATTGAAGTGAAATTTTGTTCACACATATATCCTCATAAGACCTGCTCAGAATAAAACTTTTTGTCCCAAAAATCGGAATAATTAGGATTTTATAACTTGTTCACCATGATGATTTTTGGAATGAATTTTCTCTCAACATATCGGCCAGCTTGGGAACTGGTCTTTATAATTTGATAGAACTTCCATGGGGCTACAAGTTCATGAAAAGATCAGCTTAGGATCCCTGGAAATGGTCTGTGGTGGAGATCATGTTTC